TCTCAATGCAAATCTGATCTATTTGTTATCTAAAATTTTATTTATTTGGTAATACAAACATACTTTAGAAATTTATCGTATTGTCTCTCCTGAAAATTATTAGAAATAGTTACCATCCTGTGTAANGTCCATTTTTGTTTTACTCTTTACAGTGAATGGAGTACAATAGCGATAATAAAATAAAATATCATGAAATAGTTCTGTCATATCTGTCAATTTGTAAATCAACCAACCACCAAAATGTGGGGTTTAACGAAACTTATCACTGCTGCTTCATTTAGATACTAGATGGCATTAAAGTTGGCAAATACCTTTTTTGCCAAATAACTTTATAAGATTCTGTCCAACTTAAATGAAATTTGGTATGCTAGTAGTTGTGTGTAGGTTTCACTTTTAGTCATAATAAGTACATAACTCGAAAAATCTGATGTATTTGTTATCTAAAATCTTATTTATTTGATAATAAAAACAAACTAGAAATTTATCATATCTCTCCTGAAAATTATTAGAAATAGTTACCATCCTGTGTAACAAATTTAGTTAAAAAAATGTATCGCATTCATTTCAGAAATCTCTCATTCTGCAAATTATCTATTATCGTTTCTCATAAATTTTATCTAATAAATAACGATAATCACAGAGCTTCAAAGAGTGACCGCAAAAATCACCCGTTTTTTCGCAATTCACGGAGAACTAAAGAAAATAGATAAAAATATGTTTTTGGTCTCAAATTACCCGTAAAAAATTAAGATGAGCATAGCTTTTAGTTTTTTGAAAATTTTCAAAAATCACCCCTATTTAGGGGTTGAAAAGACGCCCAAAATGAAGAACTGAATATTACTAATAAATATAAAAACTATGCTTGTGAATTTTTCTATCGAATGATTCTTGATACAAAGAAAGATTTATTCTCATGACTGAAATAAGAATGTTGAATTAGAAAATCCACCCTTAAGCGCGCTCAGGGGGTGGAGTCATCCCCAAAAATAGAGAATATCAGAAATAATTGTAAAAATTCAAAAAAATACATATTAAGATAATTCACATGCTAATAGTTTTTATATCAATTGGTAAAATTCAAAATCTTCATTTTTTGCATTTTTTCAACCATTAAGTAGGGGTGATTTTAAAATTTTCAAAATAGTAAAAGCTATGCTCATTTCAGTTTTTTACGATAACTAATTTGCGACCAAAAACATATTTTTATGTATTTTTTTTAATTCTCTGCGAATTGTGAAAAAAAGGGGCGAAAATCACAGTTTTTTTGCTGTCAATCTTTCATAGTCACAATTTACAGAATGAGAGAAATTCGAGAAGGGAACCCACAATTATTATGATTGTGTTACTAAAAATGGTGATTATTTTCAATAATTCTGGGGAAAGAACATTCAATTTAAAGTTTCCTTACTTTATGATGCATTATTTCGTCAAACAAATCAGATTTGTGTCAAAAATACATTCATGATGTCCAATAAAACTAATTATACAAAAACTGTTAGGAATACAAAAATAATACAAGAGGAAAAAAAATAAGGCCTTACCAAAAAACAAAAAAATGTACTCACATAAAATAAATTGCAATTCCTTAAAGTAAAACTCATCAATGTAGCTTTGTCAGCATTTTTTATATGCATTAGGAAATAATTTGTTTGTTTTTTATTAGTTTTCATTGGTAATCAGTCATAACAGTGAATTCTTTTTAGAAAGGTAGATAGATTATTAAAAATAATCTCCTAAGACCCATTTCTTACTTTTTTCAAAAGATAAAATTAAAATAAAATATTTAGCAATCGATGTTGTTGTTCTAACTAATTTTTTTCAAAAGATTTACCTAAAATATTTAATATTTCATTAATTTTATTTTTGGTTTCTATAGTTTTCTGCGAACAAAAAAGTATAAAATATATCAGGAGGTTGTTTCTGGAAGTTTGAGTACTGGCACCATTTGATACCAGCGACTGTAAAAGCAAATATGCAAAGAATTCTTTGATTTCGATAAAATAAGCAATTTCAGTTTACAATTCATCAATAGAGTCAGATAGATTGATAACAATATGAAACGCAATAACAAAGCAAATTGAAATATCAATTACATCCACAACATTCAAAATAATGATTAATTCTCCTATGAATAAATTCGCTGTTCCTCTAAAATGGTGCCATGTCTGGGTTGTTTATTTTTGTCCTGAGGCATTCCAATGAAAGATAAAAAATGAAAATAGTAATTATTCTATTTATTTATTCTACTTTATAAGTATATATGGACAAAATTTTAATATACATAGTAAAAAAATGGCAAAATATTCTTCAAGAAAATTACTTTTGCAAAAGCATTGGGCATAACCGTCTGATTAAATTTCACAGTTGAATTGATAGTCAAATAGCAATCATTTCCTAATTAATATCGTCGATACCATTAAGTTCCTTCCGTGAATAAAAGTTCGATTCTCATTATACATTATCAGGAATCAAACAGTCAGACATCAATAAAAAGAAGGCTTGAAAATCATGTACAGTGAGATGAAGTTCTTGAAGGTATAAAGTAATTTATAAAACTAATGGTATAATGTAATAATGTACATAAATATAATACAATGACGATAGAAATAAAATAATAATTTAAATTTGTTTGATTTACTGTTAGTTTAAAACCTTTATAATAGAGTAAAAGTATGAGAGCTAATAATAGATGTTTTTTAAAAACAAAATATTTTACTGATTATAAGATTACGAGGAAGACACAGTACAAATTACTGAAAATATAGTTGATATCATAACTGATAATTTTACCAAGTGTTTTAGTAATTACATCATATTCCTAAAAAGCTTTTTAGTAAAAATTATGTGGGACAAAGCTCTTCTCTGTTAAGCAAATTTTGGAAATGTTGCATCGAATGCATGACTGGACTTTTTAATTCTAATCCTTAAAAAAGGCCAAAGGTTGATTGTGCGACGGAGCCCCAATATCAAGGGGCTCCAGTTGGTAGCTTCAGGGAACTTTTAAAAATAAAGTAAAAACAAACGGGATGCTTCCTACGACAGATGAACTGATTTAAAACTGTGTACTCTTCCTATGATATAAGTATAGAAACAATGTCAAATCACAGTGTACAAATCTTGACTTTTCATCTCTTAATTATCAAGTTATATCTTCAATTTAAAGATTTATCATTAGACAGTTTGTTTCGCTTTTACTGAATGCTGCATTGATTCTAAGAAATTTTTTGTGCGAGAACATGGTAGTACAGGAAATAGTTAACAATATATTTAATATACCTACTTACATTTTTAAATAATTTGTGTTACTAATTATAAAGGAAAAATATAATACATAAATTAGGAAAATGTTTTACTAAAAAAAATGTAAAGACTATTGCTGTCTATACAGTTTAATACTTGAAATTATTAGTTTACCGAAATCTTTATTTGCAAATGCTAGGTACTACATATCTTAGTTTATGGCCATTATTTTAAGTTTGAATTAGTTTTTAATTTAAGTTAGTTTTAGTAACTACAGAGAATTTCTTTTAATAACAATTTGAAATATGTTTAGAAAACACAATTACACAATAGGTATATATGTTTTTTTAATAAAAGGATAGATAATATAAAATTAATGGAGTAATACTAATACAAAATTGATTTTAAATAGATAATAGGTTCAATGGTAACTACCATAAATACATACATACATTTTGTGTGTTTAGTAAAATTGATAAGCAAACTATTGAAGAGAATAAGAAAATCTTCCAATATAAAATTGGGATCATAATCACCGAGGTTTATTCACAATCGGGTGCATTATGCGCAAACGTTACATTCTATGGGGGCCACATGCAATTTTAAGCCACATATTGATTATTTTTTTCTTAAAATCGAATATGAAAAACGATTTTGCCTGGATATCGACCAGCTGGTTGAGAATCCTACAAAATGTACCTCTTTTCATTTCATTATGATCTGTTTTATTTCAACTTACTAATTGGAAGCATAATTGTAACGAGATCCAGTTTTGAAGCACATTATTTCTATAATTTTTAATTAGTCGGTCGAAAAATAGATCCATTTTGTGACCAGCACATTTTACATAGGTTTACAATTTATTCAGTAGGCTTTTTTTATGTTTAATCTATTGAATTATGTTTCTTCAAATGTAGAATGTCTTCCGAAATTCTAACTAAATTAATGGTGACAAAAAATAAAGAAAAATGGCATTTATTCCTGTACGGTGAAGAAAGCTCGCTTTTTACTTTGTTGTCAGTTTTGTGATTCTATTTTAACCCTTTAATTTAGGCGTGAACGACCAATTTTGATTAAAATTATTCAACACAGAGGGTGGTTGAAATTGGAAGTCTTTATGGTCGAAGTCAAGCAGTGGTTAGTCCAATACAGGCTTTCAACATTTTTTTTTGTTCAAATTCATGGCAGGTTGATCCCAAAACAAAGTTTTGATGAAGTTGTTAAGGTTTAAAGCAAAAAAATCTACTAAATGGTCAAAAACTGGCCCTATCATGTTGTGTAAAACAATTTGTAAGTCTACATTAAAGAAAAGAGAAGTAAATAATTGTTTTTTATAATTAATCCATATTTTTACTGATAAAAGGATTTACAAATTAACATTTTGCAACAATTTAAAACAAATGTATTTGTAATAATAGTTTAATATGTATTATAAGCAAAATGTCTTTATGTTGTGTTCACTTTCCTCCCCCATATTGAAATCATTAGCATTATCTCTCCTACACTACCCAAGCTGTTCTTTGAAGGTTATGGGTACAGCTATTGATTGGAGGTTTATCATTGTTTGTTCTATACCTTAATTTCTCATTTATAATTGTATTCCTTAATTCAATCAATATCAAACATTATTAAATGTACAAGTATTTATTTGCCAGAACAATGGGTCAGCTTTGTAATTCAAACAGGTTAACTTTTGTTGAATTAAGTATAAATTATAATGTGCAATGTTATGTAAAAATGATGGAAAAAATAATACATACTATAAGTCCAGTCTCAACATTCGGTAATAGAGTAATCCTAGACCCATCTGAAATCCCGTGTTGCACCAAATTTCCATCCTGCAATTGCCTAAAAACATATCAAATCAGAAAATAAAAAATAACTGTACTTTGGTTTGGAAACCCACTTATCTCTGAACAGTAAACATATTCTGTCTCTGGGCACTTTGAGTCTTTTAGAAACGAGTTTTTTCAGATTTTCAACGGTAATGTCCGGCTCAACACTCAAGTAGAAATCACCCCCCGTTGTGGGGCTCACATGTATATTTATTTGGGTATTTGGGCCACACCCCTGAGGAATGGGGTTACTAGAGGACTGTGAGGTGTTTTCCATATTTTCCGAGTCTTTTTTAGAGGCACTGCACTATTTTAAAGCACTATAACGCTTGTATAAACGCCTTTGTCACTAACTTTGTTACATGCACCATTTCTAAATGCATAAAAGTACATAAAAAAAACAATAGTATGTTACGGTACTGTAGCTGGAGTTTTCTGCCCGTGGTTGACAAGTATAGCTGCGCGTGGATGCTCGATATTTATTGGACACAAAGGACTGCGATCCGTAATTCTGGTTGCCTACCCTTCAGGGTTATAGATGGATTTTCTACAATCACGGTCCCACATACTTCTATCCGGTCCATAAACGGACCGTGCTCTACAATGACTTCACAGAGTAACAGATAACAGAATATTTTTCATTTCTCTATGGTTATATTGATCACTTTGTAATGTCTATGATCACAATGAATCAGGTGTTTACCTATTTTCTATCCTTCCAGATATTAGGTACCCGAAAAAAGGCAAAATATAACAAAAAGCTCGTCCATATTTTTAAATTTTATATAAANTAATTAATTAGTTATTATTAAACATGTTCTTTATAGTTCTAATTTGGCAATTCATGTATGTTCAATGCAAATAAGCTTAATTTTGAATATTTCATACTTTTCCAGATTCTATAGATTTAAACTATTTTTAGGCTGTTTTTTTGTGAATGACTCCTACGGGCTTATCCACAGATTCAAGGTTATTTATATATAAATAACTGTTAGGATTGTAATTTTTTAAATATTTTATTAACTAAGATATAGGTTGGTATTATTTTCAATATTATATGCATGGAGACTAGTCTCCATGATTATATGTATTACGATATGCGTACGTATCCAAAATAAAAAGGGAAAAAAGTTGTATGGCTATTTAAATTATGGGAATAAATAGTTTAAGCATTTAAGCAATATATTGTACGATTGTTTATTAAAAATATAAAACAAGAAAAAACTATTAACCTTCACCTGAGTGAACTGCACCAATCAATGCGCCTACCGATGCGTTCCCGTACTAAAGCACATACCTATCAAAGGTGGGAGGTATGTGGAAAATTGGCGCCCCTGGAATGTATGCAACTTATGAGTACAGGACATTGAAGGGTATTCTAGGCATAGATGAGAAAAGTTAGTATTTTTAAAATTTGCTTAGATCTTAGACCATTTAACTACATGGAGGAGCATCGCGTGTTAAAAGGTGTAGACGCTGTAGAGAAAAAAGAGCCATAGTTAGGGTACTTGCTCTCTCTCTTTTATTTTATTTGAATATCGCGGAGGAACACGGACCGTGGCGGAGGAAGTTGTGTCAGCCAATCACGTGCCTGCGCGAGAGAGAAAGATAGTTTCCAAACTATCGCTTTCTTTCCCTGTCACTAGTCTGCACTGTCCTCGTAAGCGTGCTTTCTTCATGCTCTAAGGACTCTAAAGTTTAGATGGATACAAATATATGTATAAGAAATATACACATGAAAAATTATACATTTACATTTCTAGACTAGGAATGATTAAAACTAATAAACTTATTGTTTTTAATATTTATAAATAATATTTATACATAGATAATAAGAAATAATAGATACATTTAAAATAGACTGGACAATATTTTTGAACAACTTGCCTAATAAGTTTTATACGATTTTAGATGTTTCAGTATTCTGTAGGCCTTCAGCTCTTAATCTCTGTAAAATAGGCAAGTATATTTCAGTGGCGAAAGGTAAGATGCAACCACGTTCTTGAATTTCACCTAAAAAAATCAATCAATTAAGTAGGTAGTACGCATATCTCATTGTTTTCTTATTCTGTTTATTCAGTCCGTTTGTATTTTCTGCATTTTTGTAATATGACTTCATTATACAGGGTGGGCCATTAGTGTGAGAAAGTAACATAACTCTCTTGTTACTCATAATACAGAAAAAAAGTTTATATAAAAGTTGTACAGAATCAAGAAACCTAAACCACAAAATTAATTTGAAACATACAGGGCGATGCTTTATAACACCAGTTGTGCTTTTTTTAACGACTTAAGGTTTTCCAAAAATTGTGATTGTGTTAAGTAAAACCTAATATCGTTTTTGAAAATTTCAAAATATAACAACTTTATGGTCTGTCAAAGAACTGATCTATAGGTTCCTATTCTACAAGGTGCCTCTATGTGTCAGGGTAATGTACAATGCTTCACCAGTGAAATACACACAGCGCACAAAAAAGTTTTGGTAGTTTAAATGCGTCCTAATGGTCGCTTATGGCGCTCTGTAGAAGATACAACGAAATCGTCGATAAATTCGCACTTCCCATCCTCCAAAAAACCTCCGGATACGAAATTAGCTCGAAGTAGTCGAAAGATATTAAAGAAAATGTTATTTATTTTTGTAAGACATCCTGTAGCTCCGTTATTATCAATTTTTTGACTAAGTCTAGTTAAGTTAAATCGACTTATTTTGAGTCGTACTATATCTGGTGGAGCGTTGTACAGACCCTTTAGAAACACCCTGTATATGTATTTAAAATACAGTGTATTGATTTACGAATGATTTCCCACGTGGTTGGTTTCATGTCAGATGCTTACCATCTAGGATCATTTTTGTAGCGATAGCAGCAGGATATCCCACAGTTTTTGCCATAGCTGAGTGACCATTGACATCTCCATAAACCACTAGATTTATCCCCCTCGTTTCTTTCTTGTTGTCAGGCCAAAGTATACCAATGTCGTGCCGGAGAATTACTATGTCTCTTTCGTTCTTTTCTGTAGACACAATTAATACGTTTTACATAATATGTAAATTTCAGAACATTTAAAATTAATACCTAATGCTAATTTTGTCGACAGATATTGAGTAATTGTGTCCAAAGGCGATCCGCACTTCACCACGCTCTTCTCCTCCAAAAGTCCAAGTTCCTCCAACAAGTCCACGGCATAATCTGATCCAGTCCTCTCGTTTATCTTGTTCTTCAGATTATCGTAAAATATGTTCGAGTCTTCCACTCCCAAAAGGTCGCAGATGAGCTTCCTCCAAGTGATGTCAGGTCCCTGAGCATGCAGGCTAGGATGGGGCTCGGTATCCAGGAGCCCCAAGAATTGCAACTGTTTCGCCGCTTGGGCAAAACCGCAGTACCTTAAGGTACCTCTCAGGATGGTATTTGCGTCTTCTATACCGTAATATTTCGCGTACTTGGTACTGTCCCTGTTCGGAAAGCCTTCCAAGTTGAATCCTGGTAGGAAGTCTAAGGCTTTGGCCGCCCTCATTAGCTCGCCCCCTTCTTTGATTTCGACGATTTGACCTTTTCTGAGATACCTGGAAAATATTAATTAAATCAGGTTACATTGAATTTGGAATGTAAACCCGCGTAGAACTTTATTTTCTGTTACCTTGCGGACGACAAAGTATTCAAGAGCGCTCCTCTAGGTGACCAAGAGAACTTGTACCGAAGAGGATTGTCACTGAACTCGGGAGCGGGTAGCCCCCCGCAAAAGGATTCGAAAGAGGTAACCCTCCCTCGTCCTGCTTTTACCTCTTGAATGCATTCCAACGCCAGTAGATGATCGATACCAGGATCTAGACCAACTTCACTCAAAATAGTCACCCCAGCATCGGCAGCGGCTTGGTGTAGATCTTTGACTTCGTTGCTCATGTAGCTCGCTGTCACCATGTGGGTTCCTTCGGTAATGCAAGCTTTGGCGACGATTGGGTGGAGGTTCGCGGGGAGAATGGAAACCACGACATCCGCTTTCCTTACCAAGTCTTGTAGGGAGGAAGTGGCTTCTAAAGCGTTGAGGTAGACGTTTTCTACGCCTGGGTAACTGTTTGATAGGTTCTCGCTTAGTTCCGTTTTCTCGCAAGCCACCGTTATGCCGATTGATTTGTCTCTGTAGAGGTATTCGACCAGGGGGGCTGCCACCCGGCCTGCCCCTACGATGAGGACGCTCTTTTCTGCCACTTTTGTTTCGAGGCCAGCTTTATGTCTGCTTTTGCTGAAAGAAGAAGAGAGTTTTGAATATTTTTTGTAACAGTCGTTGTTGTAACTTTTCCGAGGCCTGTTCAGTCCAATTAAATAAGCCTTTAAATCGAAATTTTGGCCAACTTGCCTGAATTTTTGATACGAGTTAGTTTGAGGTATGTTATAACAATAAATGACAGTAATTTTCTGTTCAACCCCCGGCCAAGGGTGAAAAAAGATAAAACAAAGGTGTTTTTCAAGATAACTCAAAACGGGTAAGGGCTAGTATAGGGCTCGTATAAAAGTTGTAAATCATACAATTCTACATAAAAATGGCCTCTTGACTTTTTCTTGCATTATTAAAATTAACAGAGTTAGGGAGGCTAGCACTTAGAGGAATATTTCAGAAATTTAAAAAAATCATAAGCAGAAAAATGAATGAATTTTGTAATTTTTTTTTCGATCTACTCTAAAAAATGTAACCTTTATTTTCAGAGAAATAGATATATTTTTTAATTTTTAATAAGAAAGTTATAACAATTTCAAATTTTTAATCGTTAATTTTAATGATGTAACAAAACTAAAACAATTTTTTT